GGTCAAGTTGTGCGGAGGCTTTGTGATGTCTGGCAGTGAATAGTCATGCACTGCATTGTTTTCTAAGCTGCTGGCTTGCCTTATTCTAATATAAGACTGAGAGCCACTTACCTTGACTCGTCGCCTGTCACTTCCTTGAGGGCGTCCGGCCAGCCTTCTTATATAGAGTTGGGCCTACATCCGACTTTGATGACTTGCTTTTTTTGGTCATGTTCTTTTACGCCTATTGTCTGGTATCATCTTTCATATCCGATCGATAGCCGATCACGGACGACGTTCCTGATTCCTAATTAGATACTTAAGGGGGAATTATGAAAAGACGCAGATGGGAGCAGAGCAAATATAATGTTCTATGACAGCAATGGTAATTGTTCGTTTAGGCCTATAAACTTGCTTCGTTGCTGTCAGCAGCAGATTAAATGGTCTTGTGAGTGTTGATAGGGTGGTTTGCTCAGGCATTCAAATCATTCCATTTGATGAATTAGTTTTAAATAGAACCTATTAGAACCCCACAAGCCACAGTAAACAGAAAATACATGACACATCGAGGTTATAAATTTGAGCAAAGGAAATAAGGTGCCAGACAGAGGAAAAAGACTTTTTTTTTTTAACCATATGTATATATTTTTCTGGCAGGCATGTCGTGTTACCAAAGTTCCGACATTGTTTGGGTCTTTACAATAATCTCTCTAATACACCTTGGCACTGAGGAGCAGCCAACTTTAGCTGGAGAGAAGTGCTCATATGTCACCGGTATTCTGTTACAGAAGCCTTGCAAGTCTTTCCTGTGACAAAGGAACGAAATGAAGAACTTGTGAAAACAATGATCCAGTGCCATGGCCAGGTCTCAGCCTGATCAAATCCCAAAAGTTAATGGGATTTGTTGGAGGACAAAAGACAAAGTAACAATGCTTGTATTAATAGCAGGGCATCCGGTCAAAGGATTACAGTGCGGCGTTATTAAAAAGAAGGGCATTCTTCCAACACTCGATGTGATAACTAAGCCTACAGAGCTTTATTATCTCACCTTGCCGAGCCTAAGAGGAAATCTGGGATTTTTTTTTTTTTTAGAAGTGTCTCAAAAAGTTTGAACAGGATTTTGAAGGAATTTGGAAACAGCAGTGGTGTACTGAAAGCCAGGCAATTACCGACTGAGGCAGTGTCAGCATGAGACAGGTGATGATTGTACATGTGTCATTCTATTTTTATTGCTGTACCGAACTCGTTGATCTAATTGCACTCACATTGAAGGCATCTTTTTTTTTCTGCTTTGCTTTGAGACCTTTCACATTTATTTTCTTGTTTCCAATTGCTTTGATGCCATTGTTTCTTTCTCGGTGGTTAAAATGTCACGTTTATGTTCTTTAGCTTCTCATGTCAGTGTTCAGGACTTTTGGGGAGATGCCCGGAGTGGAAGCCGGAAGAAGTTTCTATCAGTGGCCTGCTTTGACGGAATGACTTCTGACACGCAGTCTACAGTAAAACGCTCAATATACGTACATGTCTGCAGACATCCCGGCTCACATGTGTTTACCTGTTTTGGGGAGGTGTGCTCATCTAAGCGCTCAGACATAGGACGCCATCTTTAAATGATGCGTTAGCTGCACCCCAGGGCTACTTCGGCATTCTCACATTCGTGAATGATGAATACGTGCGAAAATATTTGTAACTACACAGCATTTTACAAATGGCCTTCTCTTTTAGGGCGCTTTAACACTGTCGCCTCATGAATACAATCACACAATGATTATTGGTACCGTATATACAGTTATAGACATGATGTAGATAGGGAACATCTAATTCATACAATGATGATGCAGAACGAGGGGGCCACTGGGGGTTCATTGTCTTCTCTGGGATTCTATGACATGATCATAAGGGACCAAGTATTTCAAATCGATAACGGGTACGTAAAGTATATTTGGAAAAAACAAACAAACCAAAATAAATTCGTGATAGAATCTGACGTGTTTTGATGGCTGTTAATTGCAAAGTGAGACATGAGAGTGAAAAAATAGAAAACAAGTTGAGACGTTACTGTGTACTCCAGTGATTTTTATTTATTTATTTATTTATTTTACTTCCATCATTTTGGTACTGCTGTACATTAATTATATCCCCTCCATTCTAAAGCATAACTAGAACCTGATAAACAAATACTTTCATAGTAATGAAATGAATACATATTTGTACACACAGTCATTGTTCGACAATAGAAATCTTTTCTTGAGAATGTTCCCCCAACAGACCCCGCCACCGCTACACCTCCCATCTAAAGCTCATCATTGTTTATTATTTAGGCCACTGGCTGGCAACCAGTCCAGGGTGGACCCCGCCTCTTGCCCAAAGACAGCTGGGATAGGCTCCAGCATGCCTGCAATCCAAGTGAGGATAAGAGGTTCAGAGTAGCTGGATGGTAAGTTCATATAAATTAAGTAATGAAACGGTTAACATTTTTATATATATATATATATATATATATATATATATATAGTATGCATGGCTCATTTTACTCTGACAACTGATGCCCCAATAAAAATTGTTCCGTCGCTTGTCTTGCATTGCCTCTTTAATTTAGTTTCGAAAGTAATACAAGTGCAACAATGAGCTTCTGAAACAACCACAATGTTTGATGTAAACTTTCACCTACAGTCCAAAATAAGATACGTGATGCTAATGACAGCTGGGCTATTAACTGCGTTGATAATAATTGACTTCATATGCTTATAGGACTTTTGGGTCATTTTAACACTTCCAGAATGTCGCTTGTCTAGCATTGCCTCTTTAATTTAGTTTCGAAAGTAATACAAGTGCAACAATGAGCTTCTGAAACAACCACAATGTTTGATGTAAACTTTCACCTACAGTCCAAAATAAGATACGTGATGCTAATGACAGCTGGGCTATTAACTGCGTTGATAATAATTGACTTCATATGCTTATAGGACTTTTGGGTCATTTTAACACTTCCAGAATTTTACATACATTCAAGGATGGAAGTTTTTTTTTTTTACCCAATCAGTGGTCATTTCAGTTTTTCAAGTCTTTTGAGATCCATACAAAATTGACAGAAAAAAAATCTGATTCAGATAAACAGTATCTGCGTAGGCCACAGTAATATTAGTATTTTTTTAAAAGAGAAATAAAGACAATGCCCCTTTCCTTTGAGTCTCGTTATTTTGTCTGTCTACATGTGTTGACACACTATATGTGTTCAGTTATCTGCTGCTTAAAGTGTGTCTACATGTGTTGACACACTATATGTGTTCAATTATCTGCTGCTTAAAGTGTTATAACACCGTCACATAGTTGCTAGCACGTTTGTGGCACTTCCCATTATGTGCGTACGTTAAGCTAGCAGAATTTAAGGCAAAGAAATGTGGTTTTAAATGCAATTCAGTTTGACAGTAAACTTAACCGGGAGCTTGAAGCCTCTTTTTTGAGGACATTTTCATCCTATCTGCCCTGAATATTGTACTTTGTCCCAATGATTTTTAAGGGAAACACCGTTAACACAGCTAGCAACACTGCCAGTGCATTGTACATCCCCACTCTCCAATGTGAAATCTGCAGTGAACAGGTGACTAGTTTCCCATCTCCTGGATTTTCAAGAAAGGCACTCGCGGTGTCTCGGGGGTGGAGGGTTTATTTTTAAACTCTTCCTCTAAATGGTCTCGTTGCACTGCGTACGCTGACAGATGAAGTGAAGACAAGGCCGCACTCGTAGCCTGACCTTCTTCCAAGTCGAGTGTTTGTCCCCCATACGGGGCAAGGAGGGGATCGGGTTGTACGACGTTTGATAGTTTGCATTCTTTCCTTGTTGAAAGATGACACTCAAGTGACAAAGATGGGCTGAGGGGGCTTTGGGGCTGAAGGCTGTGGGCTTCACACCCTACAAAATAGGCCAATATATTAAATAAAAATGTGACACTCGATCTGCTTTGCTGCCTGGGGGTGCTTATATGGAGGAAATACAAATATAGATGTCTCCTCAGCAATGCTCGGGGCCTCGAGCTCTCTCATCAGCGGGCTCACACATTTGTTCCCGTCTCGGCTCTTTTTGTGGAAACAGCCTTCGGTATGGGACACGCGCCGCGATCTCATTTCATAAAAGGGCAGATGCTAAGACGGGAGTCCTGCTTCATAAGTTATCTATGTAATAGTAAACATCTCGATTCTTAAGGACCGACATGTCCAAACTCCGATGAGGAGATAGTTTATAGCTGCGTGAGTGACACAATGTCACTCAAAAGAGATTAAAGAAAAAAGTGAAAGACAATAAAGTGTGTGTATGTACAGAATATTAACCTTGTCATTATTAAGATGGATTTTATTAGCACGAGAAGACAATTTTCACAATATTTTACCATTTATCTTACTCACATTGGCAAAATTAACAATAACTCATGCTTTTATAGTATTTGTTATTAATTATAGAAAGTCTGGCTTCTCTTTTCAGTGAAACAATAGTACAAATTTAACAAGTATATGTTTTGTTGTTCTTGTTGTGGTTGTTGACTAACGGGTCTATTTTCATGACAGGACCTTGACATCTCGCACATATGCATGAAGAAAAACTGTCAGGTCACTTGACTGTCACTAACATTAACACCGCGCGTGCAAGATTTGCAGTTGCCTTAACCTGAACGTCTTTCACGAGATAACGGGCAACACTTGAGGGCCAGGTTAATTTTGGAGTCTTGATACATACAGCTGACACTTTGACACAATCTAAATCACCTTATAACGTTGCCGCTCAGCTTGTTAAATGGACTGAGCGCTCTGTCTGTTATTGAGAAAGTTTGATTGGATCACATTATTTCATTTCACCCATGTAGTGAAAATAAGGTCAGCAAAATATTGAGGGAAAAAAAAACACCTTGTCGATCTGGCGGTTTATCAGCGTATTCCCACTTCATATACAAATATGAAGTAGGAATTTGAAAGAATTGTCCATTTTGAAATGTTACCCCCAACAAACACAACAGGCCAAGCAAAGGTCATACGATTGCTGGGAGCTTTATTTTGTTACACACTTGTCACATCAGACAACAAAAAGATCATATTTTATGATTTCTTGCAGTGTCTTATTGTGACTGATGTTCATTCTTCAGCATCCTTGCCCTTCGAAGCAACATAGAAAAATTGATGAGACAGGGGAATTGAAGTAAAATGTTTTTGTGAATGAAGTATCAACAGTTTAGTGCGAGGTTCAGCTCGGAATGAAATGAAACAAACATACCCTGGCAAAGTCACGACTCTTGGCCCGCAGCTTGTTGACCTGCGACTCGGCAATGTCGGCCCGTTCCTGAGCCTCCTCCATCTCATGTTGAACCTTCCTGTACCTGGTCAGGTGGGTGTTGGCCTGCTCCTCCTAAAGAGCACAAAGTTCAAAAGTGCTGTGATGTCAAGAGAATATGAGACTATGAGACACATACACACAAACTGTCCCGCATCTAACACGGAGGTGGGAAAAGCATGGCCCCATGCACTCAGTTTTTTTTTTTT